AGAGTGATATTTTTGCCCATTCTTCTTTGCAAAATAGTTCAAGCTCTGTCAGATTGGATGGAGAGCGTCTGTGAACAGTAATTTTCAAATCTTACCACAGATTCTCAATTGGATTTAGGTCTGGACTTTGATTGGGCCATTCTAACACATGAATTTGCAGTGATCTAAACCATTCCATTGTAGCTCTGGCTGTATGTTTAGTGTTGTTGTCCTTCTGGAAGGTGAACCTACGCCCCAGTCTCAAGTCTTTTGCAGACTCTAAAAGAGGTTTTCTTCTAAGATTGCCCTGTATTTGGCTCCATCCATCTTCCCATCAACTCTGACCAGCTTTCCTGTCTGTGCTGAAGAAAAGCATCCCACAACATGATGCTGCCTCCACCGTGTTTCACGGTGGGGATGGTGTGTTCAGGGTGATGTGCAGTGGTAGTTTTCACCACACATAGCGTTTTATTTTTAGGCCAAAAAATTGAGTTTTGGTCTCATCTGACCAGAGCACCTTCTACCACATGTTTGATGTGTCCCTCACATGGCTTCTCGCTAACAGGACTGCTTATGGCTTTCTTGCCACACTTCAATAAGGCCAGATTTGTGGAGTGCACGACTAATAGTTGTCCTGTGGTCAGATTCTCCCACCTGAGCTGTGAATCTCTGCAGCTCCTCCAGAGTTACCATGGGCCTCTTGGCTGCTTCTCTTATTAATGCTCTCCTTGCCCGGCCTGTCAGTTTCGGTGGATGGCCATGTCTTGGTAGGTTTGAAGTTGTGCCATACGCTTTCCCATTTTCAGATGGTTGATTGAACAGTGCTCCGTGAGATGTTCAAATCTTGGATATTTTCTTTATAACCTAACCCTGCTTTAAACTTCTCCAGAACATTATCCCTGACCTGCCTGGTGTGTTCCTTGGCCTTCATGATGTTGTTTGTTCACTAACAAACCTCTGACGGCTTCACAGAACAGCTATGTTTATACGGAGATTAAAATTACACACAAGTGGACCCAATTTACTAATTAGGTGACTTCTGAAGGCAATTGGTTCCATTAGATTTTAGTTAGGGGTATCAATAAAAGGGGGCTGAATAGAAATGCAAGCCACACTTTTCAGATATTTGTAAAACATTTTGAAAACCATTTGTCATTTACCGTAAACTTCCCCAATTATGTGCCACTTTGTGTTGGTCTATCATATAAAATCCAAACAAAATACATTTACGTTTTTGGTTGCAAAACATGACAAAATGTGGAAAAGGTCAAGGGGTATGAACACTTTTTCAAGGCACTGTACAATGCTATGCCAGTTTCAAAAATGGAGGGTAACACACCACTGGCATCATCCACAAAATAGTTTTTTGGAGACTGATAAGACAGAACACGATCACATAAATAAGTTCTGTCTAAGCAGTCTCCAAGGACGTTTCTTGTGGATGATGCCAGAAATGTGCGACGTTCCTTTTCAGACTTGCCTCATCTGCTACAGGTGTGAATGAGCTCTGTGACAGACTGCATCTGCCCTTCACAGCTAACGTCCCAAGTTATTATTTAAAACCAGTAACAATGGAATGCAGAGGCAATCATTTAATGTGATAAAGAGTACATCTATTTCTATAGTCTTACAGATACAACCATAATGCGGATGTAACCCACAAATGAAACAGAGTTTGACACCTTTGCTTTAGATCTACTTTAAGGCCGGGCTTGACGAATTTGCTTTGAATCTAGGAGCCAGGCACCTGGAATTGCATGCTCGGGACATCAGGCATTAGGAATTTGACAGCAAGTTGACAGCCTCATATATACTCAAAGAGACATTGCAATCCAGCAAATAGAGATTTCAATATAGCCAAGAGATAAACAAAAATAATCACACTAGGGAACAAATTTCCACTCCTAAAAAGGAAAGCAGCTACAGCATTGAAGGTAACAATATAAATCAAGAATATACAAAGTGGCGGTGCAGTGCTAACTATAAAACAGACATAACATCAGTCCATAAGCATCTCCTTATAAAAAGGTGCAACATAAAATGGTCCAAAAAGATGGTGCAAATAAACTAAGAAGAGCTGACAATCCATAGAGATCCCTACTGAATAAGCCATAGTTGTTGTTCAGAGGGATAGAACACACAAAGGAAGGACCTCCACCTCCAAACCAAGCAAACTGCCTTTTACTGCCCGAGAAAAGCAAAGTAGCAACACAGCAGGACCTCAAGCAGTTTTTCAATGGCGCCACTCTTATTGGGCAAATCAGCTCCAGTCAGCAGTAATTCCAGCAACTTTCAGATAAACAAGCAGTGGCAGAATACCATCATCCCTGCCGCATAGCCTCCACTGCAAAATCCCTCTGGCGAGTTGATCATTAAAGAAAGAAATCACTACACTCCAGGCTCCAGCAAACAAATTAACTTCACAATGCCATGCCTCTGAAGTGTCTTCTTTCCATATAGTGGTCTTGCTGGGGAGTTTTTATATGGTCCTCTCTGTGCAACAGGCCCTAGTGAAGGATCTTTCACATTACTTCCATCTATATCTGGGAGGTCAAAAGGAGGGCACATCTATAAACAGCAAAAAAGCACGTACATGATGGCACCATTTATTTCACTGCAGGGGGAGGGAGACAGCCCCATGTAGCAAAGATCATAAAACTCAGCTCACAGGTATGGGAATTGTGCAGCAGCAATGTAGCACTTACACATTCAATGGGTAGTCCAGTCCACGAAAGCTCCCCCCTTCCTCTTTACCGCCACCGACCAACTACGCGCCGACCCTGGCTCAGTGATACAAGATGCAGCCCTTCTCTCAGTCTGAGTGAACAGTGCTCCACCAGCGGTCCTGTGACCCAATGCCCCCACCAACCCGCTGCTGCCGGCCAAACAAAAGGAAACCGGGAGCGCAGTCATGGAGTGACAGGCAGAGAGCACACACAGCACACTCAGGAGTCGGGCGGCAGGTGCGGAACAGTAAATGGGCTTACAGCCAAGGCGCCAGGACGCATTTTCTTGTTGCCATGGCGACCTGGGAATTGTCGAGCCCTGCTTTAAGCCTTAATTCACCAAGCTAAAATGATTGGCATTTTCTAGAACAACCCTTATTTTCAGCATTAAGCCTCCATGTACACTGAACTCCAAAGGACGCCTAGGAGAAAAGCAGCAGGAACATGCAGTAAAAGCCACATTTTTGCATGAGTGTTTGTGCCTTTGGTGTTAATGCATTGTACTGGTCAAAATGTTAATCTATTCTGGCCATAAGAATGTATTAACGCACGTTTATGCATTTTTTCAGCCCAAACACTCCTCTTCAGAATGTGCAGGTGACAGGTTTTTTTTTTCCTGCTTCTAAACGCCTGTAAAACAGGAATTTGTGAGCTGCAGTGTGAATGAGGCCTAAGAGGAATAAAACACAACAGTCAGAAGACTGAAATTACCAGTGTTTTAGCTAAAGGTAATGAGTCTTTAGCATTCCTCTCACTGCCCAACCAGCTCTGGGACAGAGGATGCATTTATGAGTAGTGATGCACTGATATATCGGCTGACAAGTAGGGTTTTCAGCGAGCTTTCATTTTATTTTCTGTCCAATTTTTGTGTGCTACTTTCAATAGTTATTTTACATTACTGGATTGTATTTTTTAAATTCATATTCATTTAAATTCATGATATTAAATTTAAAAAAAAAAAAAAAAAAAAAAAACAACACTGTCCATTTCAGTTTCAATTTTCAGCCAAGTGCATCTTGAATTTTTGGTTTCAGTCCAGAATTTTCATTTCGGTGCACCACTAAGCAGTGGTGTACTGATCTTCACCAAAATGTTGCACGTGCACTGGGCACATCCACAGAGAACAACATCTGTCCATGGAACACGCACCAAGCTCAAGACAAAACATGACCATGCTCAGAGCAAACAATATTTTGGAAAACATCAGTACTGCCAAGATCACCAAGCCCCCAAATATATCCACGAAAACTTTCAAGAAGAAAAGAGAGGCCAGCCAGTGCTTGTTGTGAGCGCATGACTACTTTAATTCACCCAGCAGTAATAATTACGTTAAAGTGGTTGTAATCCCCTACAATATACCCAGTAAATCAACCAGCCTCAGGTGATATACAGAGATTAATCAAATTCTCCTACATAAGTTGTACCTGTTTGTCTGCAGTCTTCTCTACAACCGTTCACAATGCAGAATTTATAAAGCTTGGCTGGAGTTCAGAAAAAAAAAAAAAAAAAAAAAAAAAAAAAAAAAAAAGAAGAAGGGGTGGAGAGATGAAGTTACTCTGTAGAAGTCTGTAAGGAAAGCTCAGAGAGCTGACTGGAGGGAAGGGACACACACCCCTGCACACAGCTCACAGGAACAGAGCAGAGGCTGCCAATTAGCTGGGAGGTCCCTCCCCGTCACCATTTTTCTCTTGGTGTCAGGAAAACTTTTCAGAAGTGATTCATACTGATAGAAGAGAAAATGAAGCAGAAGGCAGAAATGACACTTAGGGCTCTTAATTGAGACAAGTACACACTGTAGAGGGATATGCTTTGTTCATATTGTATGTCGTACAACCACTTTATGTAGTAAAGCTAAGCAAATGTACTCCCCCTTACACACTACAGTAGCCACAGTCTGCTGGAAGATTGCAGATTGTTTAAGTTGCCTAGGTTACCATCTTAGAATATTTGCAAGAAATTGGAAAATAAAACGCGAAACAAAAATTATCTTTTTTACATATTGCAAAAATTGAGCTCAGCTGAGCTTTAGTACAAAATTACAGACTTTACAAACTGTATGCCACAAAAAACATCCTTCTTTAGCATCTTAGAGGAATCTTCCATTAACCATCATGTGATCCCTTAAATGTCACTTGCATTGTAGTTCAAAGCTGCTTATGGAGTTAGAACATTTGTTGGACATGGACATCTAAACCAAAGTAAATAAATAACTTACATCCAGTATAAAAGCATAAATGTTTCTGGAGTATTCTGTACATTTTACAGTAAAATTGTTTAACAGTAAAGGGAGCTTACCTGTTCAGAAAGGCATTTCCAAAACTATTTAGTTTTCTAAAGGGTTTTTTTGGGTCGACAACCAATGCATTTCCTGGAATGCTTCCTTCTTTTTCACCGTACATGACAGCAATGAACGAATCTGTTGTAGGCTCTGGTCCAATTCGCATTCCTGGAAAATCTTGTTCTAGTAAGTATCTGTAAATAAGGAGAATTCAATTACATTTTATTGATACAAAAAAACAGTTCAGTAAAAAGTCTTAAAAAGAAGAAAAAAAAAAAAAAAAAAAAAAAAAAAAAAAAAAAAAAAAGAAGTGTTGCGTAGGGCAGTCATATTAACCTCCCTGGCGGTATTCCCGAGTGTAGCTCGGGGTAAAGTTTCAGTACCACAAGCGGTAACCCCGAGCTACACTCAGGCTTACCATGCGGCCCTGCTCCACGATCCCTCGATCACTTACCTTGTCCTGCGCTCCTGCGATGTCCCTCCTGCAGTGTCCCTGGCAATGTAATCCGGCATCTGTCATCCGGGTCCCGTCCCTTGCAAGCGTCGGGACGTACGGGGGACGGAACGGCGGGAAATTTGAAAATGACAAAAAGTGACATTCACTAAAATCACATAGTATTCCATTACTGTATCAAACCATTTCACATACATTTTGTCCCTACTGCTTTGTCCTGCCTACATTTTTACTGTTTTTTCTGCCTGGAAACTGAGAAACATCCATGGTATCCAAAAAGTGTCCCTTTAGGTCAAAAGCGGTTTTAGATCAGCTAGAGAACAGCGACAGTAAATTAGAACTACTTGCAGAATTGAGTGATAATGATTCGTGAGGAAATTCGTCATCAGACACTGAAAACGATTTTGCGACTTTGCTCAGCGATGTGCTAACTTGGTGCTCCATTTCAAATTTCAGTGTTTTTGGTTTGATTATATTATTGAATTAAATTTATTATATTATTTATTAAATAATAATTTATGATTTTGTGTTTCAAGTTTTATCCTACCACAGATGTTTACTAGACTCTTGTTCGGACAGATTTCAGTGAGTTATTCCTAAAAATGACAGGCCTACAATTTAAAAAAAAAATAATAATATTTCCATGCAAAAAAAAAAAATGTACTGCTTTGAGCACAGAAATATGGACATGATCAGACCGCTAGGGAGGTTAAATTACATAGCCGATAACAAAACAAATGGAAAACAAAGTCATGAAACTCAAAAAGTTATTTGCCTTCCTAGGCCACTGCAGATCCACTAAAAAGTGAGAATTCAATTTTTATGCAATAAAGATGAAATGTCATGTTAGCTGCAAAAGACAAAAAGAGTTCTAACTGAAGCTTGGTAATTGGCTCAGCACCGTCACATGCGTAAGGGAAAAGAAGTTGCTTTTAGCAACCTGTTAGCACCCTGTTAGATCAGTGAGTACTAAAATCTGTCAGCTGCAATAGCTGACAATTGTTGTAGTTCTTCCATTCACAGAACTCTGTGAATGAATGACTCGGCCGAGTGGGCAGCGCCCTACACTCCCCCTTTTTTTTTTTTTTCCCCCTCTCAAAATTGTGACGGTGCAGGGAGAAGATCCCCGGCCTGCTATCACAATGGGGGATCTGATGGGGGTGTGGGGACTTTTGCATCGGTAACATGTTAAGAATGGTGAACATACCCTTTTAAAGGAAAGAAACAGACTTCCCATACTGCAAATGCTATTTGGCTGAATGTCATGCTGACCTCTTTCTTCCATACTTTAACCACTTGCCTACTGGGCACTTTCACCCCCTCTCTGCCCAGGCCAATTTTTCAGCTTTCGGCACTGTTGCACTTTGACAATTGCACGGTCATGCAACATTACCGAAAACTTTAATATTTTTTTTTTTTTGAGACAGCTTTCTTTTGGTGCTATTTAATCGCCACTGGATTTTTATTTTTTGCTAAACAAACTAAATTTTGAAAAAAAAATTTTATGAAATGTTGTAAATAAGTAATTTTTCTCCTTCACTGACAGGCACTATTTGGCACTGATGGGTACTGACAGGCATCATTGATGGGCACTGCTGGGTGGTACAGACAGGCATAGATGGGCACTGAAAGGCAGAACTGATGGGCACTATGTGGTACTGATAGGCGTCACTGCCAGATGGCACTGATGGGCACTACTTACTGGCACTGATGGGTACTGATAGACAGAGTTCTGTGAATGGAAGAACTACAACAATTGTCAGCTATTGCAGCTGACAGATTTTAGTTCTCAATGAACTAACAGGGTGCTGATAAGCACTCTAGGTAGTTTGATTCTTCCTGTCATTCAGTAACTGCCCACCCACACAAGGTATGGGCAGGCAAAAATGCACATGCTTTTTTGCCACCTTTTTTAAAAAAAGGACATGTGACTCAAAAACCACACCAAAAACGCAACGCTAGTGCAGATATATTTTTGCCACATTTTCCAATAATTTCAATGGGGAGATGCATTTGTGGTCCAAAAACTAAGGATACTGGATGCATGACCAAGTATGACTTTGTAGTAACCACAACATCTCAGTGCTCCTGACTTTACAGCTCTCACATTACTCATCTGTCAGGACAAGTTGCAGAAAAACTGCATTTTAGAACACTTGGGAAAAGAGTAATGAAGGCCATACACTAAGCAATTTGCAAGAAATCCAACAAATGTGAGCAGCCCTTATGTTGAATTGGTAGTGTGAACACAGAAATTAAAAAGTTTAAAGGAATATGACTATCAATTCAATAAATCCCTTGTGCTGGCTTCTCAGCTGAATTCCTCCTCAGGGACCTGTCATTTACACTCAAGAGTACCGACTGTGCCCTCCCTTTCCGACCACCTCCTCCACTCATAAAAGCTGTATAGTTGCTTCTATGAATGAAAAATGACTTATGAATGGAGGAGGTGGACTTTTCCTTCCTCTGCTCATCTTCCATTAGGTAGTATTTTTATTCATAGAAGCAACTGTACAGCTTCTATGAATGAAGAAGGTGGGTGGAAAGGGCAAGCATAGCTTTCACTCTTGATATGCACAAGGAGCCAGTAGCACAAGGGATATATTGGACTGATAGTAAGCCAAGTTCCTTGTGCCAATTTACATTTATTTACCGACTAAACTTAGTCTTTAAAAGATCACATACATTTTTAGGTACCAGCATCCCTAATACAGTGAGGAACAGAAGTATTTGAACACCCTGCGATTTTGCAAGTTCTCCCACTTAGAAATCATGGAGGAGTCTGAAATTCACATTGTAGGTGCATTCCCACTCAGGGACAGAATTTAAAAAAAAAAAAAAATAATTTCAGGAAATCACATTGTATGATTTTTAAAAGAATTTATTTGTCTTGCACTGCTGAACATAAGTATTTGAACACCTAAGAAAATCAGTGTTAATATTTGGTACAGAAGCCTTTGTTTGCAATTACAGAGGTCAAACGTTTCCTGTAGTTCTTGACCAGGTTTGCACACACTGCAACAGGGATTTTGGCCCACTCCTCCACACAGATCTCCTCTAGATCTGTCAGGTTTCGGGGCTGTAGCTGAGTAACACGGAGTTTCAGCTCCCTCCAAAGATGTTCTATTGGATTTAGGTCTGGAGACTGGCTAGGCCACTCCAGAACCTTGATATGCTTCTTTATGGAGCCACTCCTTGGTTATCCTGGCTGTGTGCTTCGGGTCATTGTCATGTTGGAAGACCCAGCCACGACCCATCTTCAATGCTCTGACTGAGGGAAGGAGGTTGTTGCTCAAAATCTCACAATAAATGGCCCCATTCATCCTCTCCTTAATACAGTGCAGACGTCCTGTCCCCTTCGCAGAAATGCACCCCCAAAGCATGATGTTACCACCCCCATGCTTCACAGTAGGGATGGTGTTCTTGGGATGCAACTCATCCTTTTTCCTCCAAGCACAACGAGTGAAGTTTAGACCAAAAAGTTCTACTTTGGTCTCATCTGACCACATGACTTTCTCCCATGCCTCCTCTAGTTCATCCACATGGTCATTGGAAAACTTCAGACGGGTCTGGACATGTGATGACTTGAGCAGGGGAACCTTCCGTGCAATGCATGATTTGAAACCATGACGGCGTAGTGTTCTACCGAAAGTGACCTTTGAAACTGTGGTCCCAGCTCTCTTCATGTCATTGACCAGCTCCTCCCTTGTAGTTCTGGGCTGATTCCTCACCTTTCTTATCAGTGATACCCCACGAGGTGAGATCTTGCATGGAGCCCCAGTCCGAGGGAGACTGACAGTCGTCTTTAGCCTCTTCTATTTTCTAACAATTGCTCCAACAGTTGATCTATTTTCACCAAGCTGCTTGGCTATTTGGCCCATAGCCCTTTCCAGCCTTGTGGAGGTCCACAATGTTGTCTCTGGTGTCTTTTGACAGCTCTTTGGTCTTGCCCATGGTAGTAGTTGGCGTCTGACTGACTGTGGGGTGGACAGGTGTCTTTAAAGAGCTCAGACAGGTGCTACTAAGTTAGATTAATGAGTGGAGTAGAGGTAGAATATTTAAAAGGCACAGTAACAGGTCTTTGAGAGCCAGAATTCTTGCTGTTTCTTAGGTGTTCAAATACTTATGTTCAGCAGTGCAAGACAAATAAAATTCTTTAAAAATCATACAATGATTTCCTGAATTTTTTTTTTTTATTCTGTCTCTCAGAGTGGGAATGCATCTAAAATGTGAATTTCAGACCCCTCCATGATTTCTAAGTGGGAGAACTTGCAATATCGCAGGGTGTTCAAATACTTCTGTTCCTCACTGTATATAAGAACAGATGTGGCGGACTATCAAGGAAGTGAAAGCAGTGAGCAGGTGTATCTTCCACAGCTTGAACCCACTTATTCATGTAGTCATTGCAACACATCACATCAGCTACCAACACCTCTTGCAGTCATATGTTCCATTAAGATCCTCTGTACATCACAACAGACAAGAGTCTCTGACCCATGTCTACATTCTGCAATATGCAGATTAGGCAGAGCCAGGATATCCAGGAAACAATTGCACACCTATTTTTTGGGTATTTCCATTGTTACAGTTGAAAATCTAAAAGCTGCAGCAAAAAAGCAAAGCGGTACAGCCCTTGTAAATATGGAGGCAGATGTCTGGGCTTCCTTTACCTATTAAATCGGAACCCTGCTTCCATTTTCTGCCCTACCAAGCAGATAGTGGTAATACGATGGGTTGCCA